AAGGGCCGAAACGTTGTAATAAATATGGCCACAAAGATGAGGACAATAGTCCGAATAATGTAAATAATGTACATGATACCTCATCTCAGAAATATAGACAGATACTAAAGGGCCGAAACGTTGTAATAAATATGGCGACAAAGATGAGGACAAGAGTCCGAATAATGTAAATAGCGTACATAATACCTCATCTCAGAAATATAGACAAATACTAAAGGACGGAAACGTTGTAATAAATATGGCCACAAAGATGAGGACAATAGTCCGAATAATGTAAATAGTGTACATAATACCTCATCTCAGAAATATAGACAGATACTAAAGGGTCGAAACGTTGTAATAGATATGGCGACAAAGATGAGGACAATAGTCCGAATAATGTAAATAATGTACATGATACCTCATCTCAGAAATATAGACAGATACTAAAGGGCCGAAACGTTGTAATAAATATGGCGACAAAGATGAGGACAATAGTCCGAATAATGTAAATAGTGTACATAATACCTCATCTCAGAAATATAGACAAATACTAAAGGACGGAAACGTTGTAATAAATATGGCGACAAACATGAGGACAATAGTCCGAATAATGTAAATAGTGTTCATAATACCTCATCTCAGAAATATAGACAGATACTAAAGGACCGAAACGTTGTAATAAATATGGCGACAAAGATGAGGACAAGAGTCCGAATAATGTAAATAGTGTACATAATACCTCATCTCAGAAATATAGACAGATACTAAAGGGCCGAAACGTTGTAATAAATATGGCGACAAAGATGAGGACAATAGTCCGAATAATGTAAATAGTGTACATACTACCTCATCTCAGAAATATAGATAGATACTGAAGAAAATTTTTGTTAGAATCAAGGAAAAGGGTTCTGAAGTGTTATGTAATATCATTCCCCCCTATATGGCAGTGAATGCTGCATCATGTCCGGACTAATGAAGAAGAAAATTTAGACGATAAAAATGTCATTGAGAATACCATGGATTGAACCTGTGAGCAACGGCGAAGTTTTTGAGACAATGGAAACAAAAAAGAACAGTTACAGTTAACATCAGAAAGAATCAGTGGAAATTTCTAGGGTACCTCATTTCTAGGGTACCTCATTTCTAGGGTACCTAATGAGAATAGACGATTTGGGAATTATGACATTCACATGACAGAGGAAATGAAACTGTGTAAATGGATGATAGAAATGGGTTTAGGGAAGGTTATCTGTCTTTCTATATGGCATTAAATACTGGACTATATACTCAAAGATAAAGAAGAGACCGGAAGCAACAGGTGCGTGGTTCTACAGAAGGGTGCTGGGGATAACATGTCAGAAACGAGGGCGTCTTAATGAAAACGGTAACAAAACGGGAACTTAAACTTAAAATCCGAAAGAGACAACTGACATTTCTAAGGCCCATAACGAGGAAAGAGGGAATGGAAATCTAATACTCTCAGAGGAAAACAACGCATAATATACATTGTGAACTTAACTAAATAAATGGTGGAACAAGGATTGGCAGAAATAACAAAAAGACAAGAATTATTAAGGGCTACGAAGGACAGGAAATTGTGGAGAGCCATGATCGCCTACATCCTGAAGGGATACAGCAGATAGAAGAAGAATGAGCTTGAGTAAATTGATGGCTGAACAAGGTTTAGGAGAAATAACAGAAAGACAAAATTTATTAAGAGCTACAAAGGACAGGGAAATTGTGGAGAGCCATGATCACCTACCTTCTGAGGGGACACTGTACACGAAGAAGAAAAAAGTCGTAATTTGCTAATAGCAACAAATTAATAGTAAATTGTGGAAATATATATATATATATATATATATATATATATACAGTCTGTCCATAAAGTTCGCGTGCACTTTAAAATTTATAACTTTATTTGTATTTGCGATAGAAATAATCTGTAAAAAAAATGTTATAAAGTTTAATGTACCTAGTTTTAAGTATAGCTAAAATAACTAATGTTATTTCAGGCATTACTGTAAATCAGTTGGCAAATGTTTTCCGTGAACTGCAAAATCGTATTACCCTTTGTATTGCTAATGATGGAGGACATGTGGAAACTTAAATAAAATTTCAATAAAACCTTAAAAAAATATACTTTACTTTTTCTAATCCTTTTTACAAATTATTTCTATCACAAATACAAATAAAATTATAAATTATTTAAGGTGCACACGAACTTTATGGACACCCAGTATATATATATATATATATATATATATATATATATATATATATATATATATATATAGAGAGAGAGAGAGATAATATTAGTGGAAAATATACATACATATGAAAAATATATCTAAAAAATTTCCCATACATGTATATTTTCAGAAAAAAAATTTTCCAAGAGGAAGGATCCAGGTAGAACTCAATGTCTAAGCCTTTTATTATATATATATATATATATATATATATATATATATATATATATATATATATATATATATATATATATATATATATATATATATATATATATATATATGCGAAAAAATTCCCAAATATCAAGTATTGCAATAAACCAAATCTAAAAATACAGCTTATGGGAAATTGGTCGAGTTGAGAACTTTTTCTGTTCCTCATCGTATATTGGGAGAGGGGTGAAAGAAAAAGAGAGGGAGACAAACAGACAGACCTGCAATGGTGGCATGTAGAATAAAAGAAAGAGAGAAAAATCGTGACTATGAAGGTGTAGATGAATACAGTAAGACGTTCACAGAGAAATAAGATAATGTCTTTTTGTATCTACATTTTTTCTCCAGTCTTCTTAGATTAAATAAAAGAAAGGAGAGAGATATTAAAAGGGTCCTTTGCCCGCGAGCTGTACTTTTGTAATAAACTGAGCGAATGAATCACTGAATAAGTGAACGATTTCAATAATGATAAAACCGGACGATAATACCGATTGTCTCCCCTGCCACTGCGCTCTTAAAACTTGTGTTTGGGCGCCACTCAAACCACAGGGTATTTTAGTTTAGTTTCCTCTCATTTTTCGCCTTCTTTTCTTATTTAATTATTTATTTCTTCATTATATTGGAGGGGGCATGGGTGATTTTGAAACCGTAAAATCTTAGGTTGAGAATGGGTGGCTATGCAATGATTCGTTGCCCGACTGCTGGCTGTGAATTTATCAAAATGGCTGCTTGAATGACTAATTAAGCAAATTACTGGCATCTTATTTTGGGCCTGAAGGCACACGACTTGTAAATACAGTTTTAGTGATTTTTTTAACAAAAAATTATCGTGTTTGTTCTTTCATAAACTAAATGTTGGATATTCAGTCCTACCTATCTCTATCTATCTCTCTCTCTCTCTCTCTCTCTCTCTATATATATATATATATATATATATATATATATATATATATATATATATATATATATATATATATATATATACTTTTATTTTTAAATACATACATGCATATATATATACTTTATATTTAAATACATACATGCATATATATATATATATATATATATATATATATATATATATATTGAACAATAAAAGATATTAAAAATTAAAATCTTCAGACACTATATATATATACTTTATATTTAAATACATACATGCATATATATATATATATATATATATATATATATATATATATATATATATTGAACAAAACAATAAAAAAATATCAAAAAATTTAAATCTTCAGACACACTGGGTTGTATATTAATATTCCTTCGTTTTTATTATTATTTCATTTAGATTCATCGACTAGTTTCGGCCAACATGGCCATCATCAGGAGAAAAAAAATTCTGCTTGCTGGTAGCAGTGAACTACAGAAATGAATGTCTTGATGGAGAAAATGAACTTTTGGCTGTAGTTTTAATTTGTTCTTTTATTTTTTTTATTATTTTTATATTTTTTAACATGAATTTTGGTCAGTCCATGCGACGATGGCGCGGCCATTTTTGCCTGCTGCCGCGAAACGCCGACAAAAAAAAAAAAAAATAAAAATAAAAAGTGCTACCCTCGGTCGACCAAACTTTCCTGATTTCTCGACGGGGATACACGCTCGCTACGAGTCCCGACCGTCGAGTCGCCTCCCGCGAAGAAGACGGCGGAGTGACACGACGGTGTTTCGGAAAAAAAAGAGTGACTCACCGGATACATGAAAGCTGCTAATCTAATACTGTGTTTAAATTCATAAATTCAAGGTACCATACCAGAAAGCTCATCAGAACAATTACCATGAAAATATTTATAGAAAAGGCTATGTTGTGGCGGTGGAAGAGTGACTGAAGTCAAGATGCCAGGTCAAGACCAATAACATTGCAGATTCTTCTTTGAATTTTATCAAGAATCTCTAAATATGTAGCAGGAACACCAGACCAGATGTGGCATCAATATTCAAAGCAATGGCGATTGGTAGACTTGTGAATATGTAAGATAGATTCTGGTGAGTAAAATTATTTAGCTCGCCACAGGGAACCAACTTTCCTAGCAGCAGACATAGCAATTGATTCAATATAATCTTTCCGTTACATATCAATGGAAAATGTTAGTCCGAGTAGGCACAATTAGTTCGTCGCCTGGGGGGGGGAGTCGGCATCGACCAATGCTGATGGAAGGTAAAAATGGTTCCATTACACGATTAAAAGAGAGTAGTTTCGTTTTGAAGCCATTCATTATACCAGTTAACAACACTGTCTTTGATCTGCATCCATTCCCTTCATCTTCATTTATGAGCCACGTTCCTTTAGGACATGGCTCTCCACAACTTCCTATTATTTAGAATCTCTAAATAAGGAGAAGCACAATACTAAGTGTGACAGCAATCGTACAAAGATGTTATTGTTTAGCATGTGCTCAAGTCAGATACTTAGTGGAATCGTACAGGTAACCAACAATTTTTCCAACATCTTTAGCGATAAATCGTATGCATGAGCTCCACTTGAGGTCAGGAGTGAGTTTCATACCCAATAGTCTCAAGATGCAAGCGAAAGGGGGGAATCCATTCATCTTAGCCGGTTGTAGTGCTTACGCAAAGATACTAATGGAAATAGTTGCTCAAAATTACGAGGAGGCTGGAGAGTTGAACGACCTTCTCTTAAATAATTAAGCAAAAAAAATATCGGACTACTTTATTCATACTCTATTTTGAGTTTCTTTTTCTTTTTTTTTTTAAATCATTTCACCTCAAGCAAGGCGATAATGCCTCTAAGACTATTATTGCATTTAATTGTTTTTTTTATTTTCAAATAGCTAGCCCTGACAAGCGTTTTGGCGCGAAACTCTTGAGTCGGCCAACAAGAAGGGACACTTTTTTATTTATTGAATATTATAGGTCTAATTATTTATTGAGAGTTTTTTTTTCGGGAGGGGGGGGGGCAAAATTCTGCTAGTCTGAAAAACCCGTTAAATTGTAATTTTCGTGTATTCTTTGAATTGTACTACTATTATTATTATTATTATCATCATATTTTTTTTAATAATTTCATCGCAAGGAAGGCGATAACGCCACTGAGATGCCCGGTGTTACTGAGAATGAAAGGTTTCACCCTATTACTGTTTAAATAGCTAAATGCAACCGCAACTTCGATTCCAACATTTTCTTTTCTCGCACTTCCCGCGTGTGGAACTCCTTTCGGTTTACTTGCTTCCCTGCTAACTACAATATTCAAAAGTTTAAATCCAACGTCAATCACCATCTTCTTTAATCCACTTCATCTTTTGTCCTATCCCCAATTCTCCCTATTCTCTGTCTTGTCTTTCACTTTCACTCCCTGTAACCAACTGCGTGCTAGTGGCATTCCCGCCTTGTTTGGGGTGTGATTCTAGAAAAATGGTCTGCTCCCTGCATCGTCACAGTAAATACCTGACTCTTCCTGCTATTAATGACCTTTACAAAATGGAGTACTGCCGCAGTATATGGTCTTCATGTTCCGGCCTTCACGTTCCAGTCTAGAGTCTCCGCGTCCTTGTGGGTGATGAAAATTTTTCCACCTTGCAATCCCTTTCTCACAGACGAAACGTCGCAGGTCTTTCGTTGCTGTATCGCTATTTCGATGGAAAGTTTTCAAACGGACTACATTCTTTAGTTTCACCATTTCTAACCTTCACGTCTAAGACCCGCCATGATATCCACATTGTGGCAAACCACCATTCCCTTTATAGTCCATTAGTGGGATGTAAGTTCCACTCGAGCAGTTTCTTCCCACGAACTGCTGCTCTGTGGAACCGATTCTCAAGAGGATGTTTCCTCGATCACTACAGTTTGGCCAGTTCAATATCTTGCCCATATCTCTCCGTAAATAAAACTTACTGGAGCGATCAATGAGCCGGCCATTTTGACTGAAACTTTAGCAATGATTTGTGTATTTACATAAAATAAAAGATTTTAAAACTTGTGGCACCATTTCCCGAGAAGATGCATTTCTGACCTCCAAAATGGTAATCAGCTCATGGCTACCCGTTTTCTTTCTCGCATACTCTTATAAAGCGCGCCTCTTACTACTCATTCTTACCGCTCACACAACAAACTCCTTCAGTACCACTCTACCTCGAGTTCCTCTTGGGTCTTGCATATGGTGATGTTTTTTTGTTTTTTTTAAAAAGCATAAAACAAACGCTTATCAACAATAATTTTTCCAACCAAACCGTCGATGAGCAATTAAAATTGGCTTGAAATATTTTTTGAAAAATAACGCAAGAAAATCAACCCGATACTCTATCGCTATTTCCATGAAAATTCTGAGTCTCACAGCTAAGATTCACCCCGACCCGTACCCTGAGGCGAACCACACCACTCCCAGTTCGTATTCCGTTAGTGAAGAGTAAGTTCCACTCGAACAGGTTCTTCCAATGAACCGCTAATTTGAGGATGATTTCAATGTCAACCCGTTCAAGTCTAGAGTCAACCGTTATCTTCACCACATCTCAACGCTCTGTAACCCTCTACCTCGAGTAGCTCTTGGGCCTTGTAAATATATATATATATATATATATATATATATATATATATATAAATGTATATGTAATCAAGACTGGAAAGTGAGGACTGGGCAACCCAGATATAGTAGTAGTAAGTATTTACTTTGCCCCACCCCTCACTGAGACGAGATGTGACACATGGTCTATTTTCAGGTGGGAACCCGAGCGCGTACACCCGGGACAGGAACAAAAATTTCCCTCAGCCCCCGCAACCGTCGGTTCCTCTGGCCTAGTGCAACAGAAGGGCGCGGCCTCGGGCAGCTGTTCCCCAGGGCTGGGCACTTCTTCAGTATAATTTTCTCAGTTGCCACTCTATCCTTGACAGAGAAGCCCCTGAGCGCACTCTGCCCAAAGACAGAGAGGCAAATGAGAGATGATAAGTAAACGTGAACCTACTCAAAAAGAGTAATCTATGGTAGTAGTACATCACTTTTCTTCTGATCTGGGTCTTTTATTGATAGAGCACAACAGATACTTATTGGCGCGAACAAGGAGCCGACCATTTTGACTGAATCTTTCAGGATGGCGTCTATATTTAGATATCTAGATAACATAACAGATTTTAAAAATACATTAAATGCGGTTGCAGCGCACAAAGCACAAATTATTTACGTAATGATCGAAGATGTATTTTATCTATCATTATAAAAATCCAGAGGACCAAAAATGCCTTCTTCTTGTCTGAAACAGGAAATGGTTGCGTCAGACGACACTTAAAAAGAACTGAGTCAAAAAAGTGCGTTGACAGTAATTAGAGATAAGAGATTTCGAACATTTCCAAATATTATTGCCGATATTAACAGCATAATGCGATATTGTTGTTTGCTAGCAACGTGTGGATTTAGATCGTGCGGAGGTGGATACGTCAGAGTAAGACACAGAGACGAACCCAGGGAGAAGAAGAAAAAGAAAGAAAGAAAGAACGAAAGAAAGAAAGAGAAGTAAGGGTTCATTGGGAAAAGACAGAGATATAGACATCGAAGGACAGAGGAGGTAAAAATAAGATAAACAGAGAAGTAATATATATATATATATATATCTTACTTATTATAAAACGCAGATTGTGTGTGTGTGTGTGTGTGTACGTTTATATATTGGATCGGATTTTCAACATTTTTCAACCAATTTCAACAAAACTTCACAGGACTGCGTAAAATTACCTTGTGGTGGTTCTGACAGCGCCAAAAATTGGAAAAACACAATTGTTTTTACACGAAATCAATTTGAAAACACGATAAAACATGATTCTGTCGCCAGAATGAAAGGGGGACAACTCATATCGAGTTATACTTACCCAGGTTGTTTGTGTGTGTGTTCGTTTATATATGGGATCGGATTTCCTACATTTTTCAACCGATTTCAACAAAACTTCACTTTTTTTGGCAGGTAGTGTTTCTTATTATCTTGCACACTTTTTTCTTTATTTTACATTCAGAATTCTTTAAAAATTCCATTTACAAGAAAAATTGTTTATAATAAAATTCTATTCAATCGATAGACGCATAACGATTGAAAACAATGTTTTGTTTGAGTTTGGGTTTGACCAATTCGTAAAAAACAAAAACTAATTAAGACATGATGTGTCCGTCAACCTTAAAACAATAATCTTTGTCAATTTTATTTTTCAGTCTTAATGATGGTCGATACTTGATCTATCTCTTACTGATACATCCCTGGGCAACGGGTACTTCTGCTATATATATATATATATATATATATATATATATATATATATATATATATAAAAGAAAGAGGTTATAGTGGTTCCAACGAGAGAAAAGTGTGTATATAAAAAAGAAGAGAAGAGAGCTGTCACAAACGTTTTTGGTTGTAATGTGGATTTTAAAAAAACAAATATTATGCTTTATTTTCCATAATTTTACTACACGTGTTTCTGGTCTCGTGACCGTCATCAGGTAAAAGGCGGAGATTTCGACATATTATTAAAATTAATTAATTTTTTTCCTTATGTTTTTCAATGTTAAATATTCTTGATATGAGACATTCCCTGTTTTTGTGTTAGTAATCCGAATGTATATATATATATATATATATATATATATATATATATATATATATATATATATCAGAATGAGAGAGAGAAAGATAAGGTGTGGAAAAAGAAGGGGAGTAATTGGTAAATACACCGAGAGAGAGAGAGAGAGAGATGGAAACAGAGAAAGTAAAATAATGAGATAAACAGAAAAAGCGCAATGATATATATTTATACATTATATATATATATATATATATATATATATATATATATTGAAATGAACGCATATTTTCTATGAAAATTTCTCTGGCATTGAGGTCGGTAAATTTTGTTAATACTGTTTATTATAAACAAATCATTTACTTAAATATATGTATCTATCAAAAGAACGCATAAATATAAAAAATGCCTTTATATATATGTAATTATAAGAGAAACTGTAGTGAATACAAAGTAATGATAACTCCCATTACCCAATCCATTTAAATTCAGCTAAGCTGAGGAAAATGATGGAAAGAAATTGGCGAGTCTATGTGAAATTTTCTTTGTACCAATGAGGACCTTGACTTCACAGAGATTGGTCAGCAAGTCGAGAAAAAGAGAAAAACTTCGCGAATCTATGTGAAATTTTCTTTGGACCAATGAGGACTTTGACTTCACAAAGATTGGCCAACAAGCCGAGAAAAAGAGAATAAATCGTGAGCCTGTTTGAGATTTTCTTTGGGCCAATGAGAACCTTGACTTCATAGAGATTGGCCAGCATTGCTGAGAAAAAGAGAAAAAATTCGCGAGCCTATGTGAGATTTCATTTGGACCAATGAAAATATTGTCTTGACAGAAATTAGCCATTGAGCCTAGAAAAAAGAAAGAAAGGAAAATAGCGAACCTATGCGAAAGCATTTTGATATAAGATAAGTAAAAAATTAAATTAACAAGGGAAAAATGTCTGACGTCATGTGAAACGTTTCGTTTCTGTTCACACGTCTAGCTTGGAATTTTCACCAGTGTCAAATTACTCGCCAATTATACTATCGGCCTTAACCAAGACTTAACAATGCAAGAAAGTTAAGTATTTCAAACTCTCTCGCATTTCATCTGCTTTTTACTGTATGCAACCGTATATCACTTCTGTGTTCAACGAACTCTCTTACCTTTATTTTAAACATTTTTTAATATTATTTTTTGTCAGATCATTTAATCTGTTGTATGAACATTTCCTCTTCGGATAATTCGTTGTAAATACAGACTTTAAAATATCTGATTTATTTTCCTGAAATGTGGTACTTACACGTCTTCAAGCGTGTTAAATTCGTGAATAAATTCCTTATCTTGTTTTGTTAAAATTACCCGTGTGTTTCGTCGTCATTATCATCCTACATTCAACTTCTTGGCGTGGGTAAATCAACTGTTCATTTTAATCGCGAAGCTCTATGCCTCTATTAAACTACTATTAATATCAGTACATGCCATTAGAAACAGAAAATAACTTTTTTAGAAATAGTATTGAAGAAAAAGTTATTCCTCAAAGTTCACAGAAAATTCTTCTTTCTGTGCACGAATTCCTGAAATTATCTGCGTATGAGTTGATGGAACAAGAATACTTTTTGATAAAGCTAACAAAATTTGAAAGGATTTTCATCATCACAAAATCTTAAATAAATACAAATGGAGAAATTCCTTAAACAATGGACAAATCTGTAGTTTACAAAATAAACTAAAAAACTTTAGTTTCCAAAGTTAAATGACCTCGAGTCGACAGGAAGAAAAAAAAAGCTAAAAAAAATCTCATTAAATTTCAAACGATCGGATACAAAATAGGGATTTTTCATTTCTTTTAGAAAATCATCATTGTATTCAGTACAAAAGCTGAGGTTTGATGTGCTAAGTACGGATACCAAAGATTAGATTCATAGCTTTTTTAGCAATTTCAAAGACCGTCTGCAAAAACGTAGAGAAATACGTAAAATTTGCAGGTATTTGCTTACAAATTGACTTCAAAATTTTACTATTTCAAGAATTAACCTAAAGAAAGTTGATATCTTTTACATTAGATACATTGAATGGAAAATATATTCAAACCAGAATTTTAACGATGAATCACCACAAGCAAAATATGCAAATTTTCTACTGTATTCGATAAGTAAAAAGTGTAAAAAAATTGTAAAAGATTACAAAAAGGCTACTCAAGGAATACGATTTGTTAGATCATCTCTATCTATAAAAGGCAGGATGTGTGTGTGTGTATGTGTGTGTGTGTGTGTGTGTGTGTGTGTGTGTGTGTGTGTGTAACGAATGCACGGCCGCAATTTTCGACGGATTTGCACCAAAATTTACATGTACATGCTCCAAGTTAGTGGAAAGGCCAAGATCGACTTTGCATTTCCCAACTACCATCGATAGTGGAAATAATCGATATTTTCATGCTTCTACGGCAGTTTTCATGTAGTTTGCGGCCATTTTGTACTGGCCAGAGTGAGAGCCAAGAGCTGGCTGCCACGAATAGGCAGGAAGATTCTATTAGCCAGCGTGAGAGACAACAGCTGACTGACACGAATGTTAACTAGCATGCAAAAAAAAATCGATAGCTGCATTCGTGACAAGTGGGAAAAATTTAAATCTGCATGGCACTTTACTCCAATTGGCTCATTCGCTTGCTTAAACTCAACGTTGATTCTGATTCCGCAGAACTGGGTTCGGTGTGAAAATGTATTTGTTGTTAACATTCTTTTTTCATTCGGTTTTTCCAGTTACGAGTCCTTTTTTAATGCTGATCGTTTTGTGTTCATTTTGTTTAGTTCTTTTTTCGTAACAGATTTAATGTTTAGTATAGAGCTTAGAAAAAATTCGCAGTGTGAGATAGGCAAGAAGTAAGGCATGTAGCAACATCAGCACGGCAAAGGGCACTCCTTTAAAGGCAAGGAAGGGCAAAAATATTTTAAGTCAAGTGATAGCGATTGCTGTATGAGTCGTACGATTTTTGAATCAAGCACCGGCAACGCCGGGCCATGCTGCTAGTAATTCCTAAAAGAAAAAAATAGATAAAAGTTCATATAACACCATAATACTGCTGGGCACAAATTTTAAGATAAAATCTTTTAAATTTGCATTGCTTATTGAAAATCACGCTAAAACTACTGCACTCCGTAACATATTAGGTTATAATATAGCTAAACTGTTCAGTATAATTTCCCTTTGAAATAAATGAAGGTATTATTTGATGGCACAGTGATTTAGTAATAATGTGCTTGTGCCATATATATTGTCAATATACAGTTTGTAAAACTTCAGTAAATTATAAATTTTATATTTTATTTTAATGATCATCGGAACGAAATTCTAACGTTACAATTTCGAATTTAAACTTAACCTTTTAAGTCATTTTCTCAAAAAAACGCCGACAATTTGGAAAAAATATTTTGTATCTTTATTTATCATATCAAACTGAGTGTAATACAACGGTTTCAAGATTGACCTACCCTAATACGAAATTGGAAGCTCTTAGTTACGCCATAAAATTTGCCACTGGATTGCATAAAGATGATCGTACTGATACTATTATATATATATATATATATATATATATATATATATATATATATTATCTCTCACCAATAGCACGACTCGGAGTTTCATGCACAACGCAATCTTCAGGTGCTGACTATAGACTGACCGTTACATAATTTGAATTTTAATAAAGCTATCTGGTTACCGCAATGTTGACATAGTATAGTGGAATTACAGTGTTTTTAATTTCGAAAACATATTTTGATATTTAGAATAAATGGTATTTATATATATATGTAAATAAAATTATTTTAGCGTTGTGAATATTAATTTTTATATTAATCATAAAAGGGAGATTATTGGTTCTTTAAAAAAAACATAATTTACATTAAAAATTAGTCTGGATCAACGCATTTTAGTAGATATTTTTATGCCTACATGTAACCATTAATTCATTTCTTTCTTTTTTTAATAAGCT